AGGAGATCAGGAGGTCATGGTTCGATACCTAGTCAGGGCACATGCTCGGACTGCGTGCTCAATCCCCATTGGGGGCCTGCAGCAGGCAGCCAGTCAATGATTCTCTCTCATCAATTGATGTTTTTTTATCTCTCCCTCTTCCTCTCTGAAATCAATAAAAATATATGTACATATATATTTTAAATCTGTTCCTGACTGAAATTTTTTCTTCTTTTTCACATATGGGATTTTAGTTTTAACTCAGCTTGGGTTAGTGTTGCAGACAACTTAATTACATACAAGGGCAAGGAGATTAGTGGTAAGGATAGTCCAACCCATTCAGTAATCTGAAAAGCATTGCGTATTTCAGGTTGTCCTGCTATGAATGTAAATATTGTTACTTCATGGCCCTGGTGTAATTAACTCTCTTCACTGCCCTTACCTACTTCTTCTCTGAACTCCGGAAGTAGTCTCCTCCTCCCTGGAATTGGTCTTCCTGCTCCCTGCCAGTCCACCCTCCATACTGCAGCCAGGAAGAGACTGAAATACAGATAGCTACTAGTACATTTGTAGCATTTTAGTTCTCAGGACAAAAAACAAAGCTGTAAATGTTTTGCGTTTTCAAAATTATTTTATTTTTTATAACTTTCTTAAAATATAATTCACATCCCCTACAATTCCTCGTTTAAAGTGTACAATTCACTGGTTTTAGTATATTCGCAGAGCTGTGCAGCCATCACCACAGTCATTTTAGAACATTTTCATCACCTCAGAAAGAAACCGTCCACCCTTTAGCTTAAACCCCACTCTCCCATCCTTCCCAACCCTGGGCAACCACACATCTGTTTTCTGTCTCTGTAGATGTGCCTGTTCCGGGCCTTTCAGACAAATGGAATCATAGGCTCTGTGCTCTTTGCGACTAGACTTTCCTTCACTTGGCATAAGCGTCTCAAGCCTTACCTAGGTCGTAGCATGCATCCGTGCTTCCTTCCTTTCTGTTGCTGAATGATATTCATTGTATGAATGCACTGCATTTTGCTTGCTCGTTAGGTGATGGGCGCTTGAGCCATTTCCACTTTGGGCTATTATGAATAATGCCGCTATGAATGCTTGTTGTACAGGTTTCTGTGTGGACATATGTTTTCATTTCTCTGGGATATGTACCTGGGAGTGGAATTGCTGAGTCAAATGGAAACTTAACGTTTTGAGGAACTGCCAGAGTGTTTCCAGAGTGCTTTTACAGTCTGTGTTTCCATCAGCAGTGTGAGGGGGTTCTGATTTAGCTGCGTTCTCGCGAACACTAGTTATTATCTGGCTTTTTATGTTAGCCATCTGACTGGGTGACGAGCTGGTATATCACTGTGGTTTTGATTTGCATTCTCTGATAGCTGATGATCTTGAACTTCTTTTCATGTGCTTATTAGGCGTTCGTCTTCTTTAGAGAAATGTTTATTCAGACCCTTTGCTCACTTTTGTTTGGGTTGTCTTTTTAGTATTGAGTTGTAAGAGTTCTTTATATGTTCTAGATGCGAGTCCCTTATTAGATATATGATTTACAAATATTTTCTACTATTTTGTGGGTTGTCTTTTCACTTTCTTGATAGTGGTTTTTGAAATCAAATAGTTTTCATTATTGATGAGATCCAAATATTTTCTCGTTTGTTGCTTCTATTTCTGATATTTTACCAGTAAGACTCCATGGCCAGGTCCAAAGTCATGAAGATTTACTCTTATGTTTTCTCCTGAGATTTTTGTAGTTTGAGCTTTTATATTTAGGTCTTTTGAGTTAATTTTTGTACATGGTGTCAGGTCAGCAGCTGTATCATTTTACATCCCCAGCAGCAAAGCACAGGGTTCCAATTTCTCCACACCCTTTCCAACACTCATTATTTTCCTTTTTTTCAGACATCCTCATGGGTGTGAAGTGATAGCTCATTGTGGTTTTGATCAGCATTTCTCTAATGATTAGTATTATTGAGCATCTTTTTATGTGCCTGTGGGCCATTTGTATATTGTCGTAGAAAAAATAGCTGCTCAATTCCTTTGACCATTTTTAAATTGGAGTGTTTATTTTGTTGTTGAGTTATAGGAGTTCTTTATATATTCTGGATATCAATCTTTATCAGATATATGAGTTGTCAATATGTTCTCACGTAGGTGGGTTGCCTCTTCATTCTGTTAAGAGTGTCCTTTGAGGCATAAAAGATTTTAATCTTGACGAAGTCCAACTTATCTGGTTTTTTTTTCTTTTGTTGCCGTGCTTTTGGTGCCATATCCAAGAAATCATTGCCAAATGCTGCTACCAATTTCTAAAAACTTGCCCTGGTGGCATTTAAACTACTCAGTGAATTGTTTAAGGAATTTTGAAGTTATTTCTATTTATCATCTTACTTTTATAATTATGGGAGATTTTCATAATTTTTCATCCAATCCCAAACTTCATCTGAGTCTTTATTTTCCTGATTGCTGCCAAATGCATTTAACTGGAAATCAAAAGCATGGAAATAGCACATTGTCTTATGATACAATTATTCCCCATGAGACATAGCGATCAAAATTATTGCCAACTGCCTTTATTAGGAAAAGAAAATTCTTAACTGATTAAAGACTAGGGATATTGTATATCAACTATTCAATGGGTTTTTAACTTTTTTGCTTCCTTTTTTTTTTAATACTGAATTTCACTTCGGCTCATATAAACTTCTAACACTTCAAAGACATTTTGCATTCTGAAAAGGGTTCCTTGTGGTTGTAACGTTCATTTGAAATCCAAATAACTCCTTGGAATTTGAAGCGAGCTGGAAGTTATGCAGTATAGAAGAAGAGGGGGGAAATCCCTTAAATCATTGCTAATTTATCATGCTAGAGGATATTCTACCTTTGTATTTAGAGAGGAGCTGCTAATGCATCTTTTGAAGTCATCAAATAATAGATGCACTATCTATAGTAAACATCTTGGGCAATGTGAAAGAAGTAATTTTTTAACCTATATCGTTCTTGTTTTAAACCACTATACATATGTCCAAGCAAGTTTTGTCCAAGCCCCTAATTTTGTAGAGTAGATGATATCAAAGACCCAATAGAAGCCTAAGACATGGTTCTCTTTCCTCAGAGTTCGCCATCTATTTATAGAGCCTGATGATACACATGACAATATAAAAGGACTAAGGGATGCTCACTGTTTAGAGTCTGAGAAAGTGCAGATGGGCTACTAATCCTAATAAAGTCATTATTCATGTTTCAAACAACCCTCCCAAATGGACGCCAAGTAAATATTTGCTGAATGAATGTATCAACCTAAAATGTTTTGCTGTTTAGGGTGTTTGTTTTTTAGTAAATATTGTACAAGTGCTATTGAGCGCACCATTTAAATAAAACGTTTTCTTTTTCAGTTTCACCTTTTTGGAGTTTTGCTGGCTGTTTTAGGAAACTTGGTAATCAGCATTTCCCTAAATATTCAGGTAAGAAGAGCTTGCTTTTCTAATTCTGAATTTTTCTAGCACATGACTATTTTAATGGGCCATGGACACTTTTGCCTTCTTGGGCTTTTCCTCCATTAAAAATATAAAAATTATATTTTATGACCTCGACAATATAAAGAGAAATATAATCCAACTGGATTACAATCATGTTTTCTCTTCTTCTGATTTTAAAAGAAATTAAATAAATGTTTTTGTGGTCCTCTTGATAGTATTATATACTGTAGGCAAGGTGTGTAGGTGGCTTATGAATTTGTACCCCACTTAGAAAGATACTCATAGTCTTAGCATAAGCTAAGATTTTCTTTAATGTTCCATGTTTTCTTCTAGTACTTTTATTGTTTTCTTTAAAAAAATTTTTAAGTAATCTAGAATTGTACATACTTTGCAGTAAGGAAGTTCAGTTATCATAAAATCAATAAGGAAATAGGGCTTTATTCAATGGCCAGTTTTTCAGGAATTTATATGTTTAAAATACAAAGAAATATTCAAGCCAGACATAAGTAAGACTCTCCCAACCTAACCCTCTGCTCCCAAAGCATTCTACCATGGTGTGTTCATTGCGATAGCTACTTTGACTCATAAATTTGACTCTCTTTTTAAAAGGTGTTTCTTTAGTAATTTATTAACTTCATTTCAATTATGTTTATTTTGGCATCTGGACTTTTCGATATTCTGAAATGAGTGTTTTGGAGCAAAGGTTTTACCACCAGAACACAGGTGTCGTGAAAACCACCACTAAATCAAAACTAAAATGGGAAAGGAAAAGACTTATATCAACATCATGGTCACTGGACATGTAGATTGCGGCAAGTCTACCACCGCTGGCCATCTGATCAGGTGTGATGGGACTGACAGGAGAACCATCAAAAATTTGAGAAGGAGGCTGTTGAGATGGGGAAGGGCTCCTTCAAGTATGCCTGGGTCTTGGAGAAGCTGAAAGCTGAAAGCTGAAACATGAACATGGTATCGCTACTGATATTTCCCTGTGGAAATTCGAGAATAGTATGTATTATGGCACACAGAGACTTCATCAAAAACATGATTACAGGCACATCTAAGGCTAACTGTACTGTCCTGACTGTTGCCTCTGGTGTAGGTGAATTTGAAGCAGGCATCTCCAAGAACGGGCAGACTTTGAGCATACTCTCCTGGGTGTGAACCAACTGATTGTTGATGTTAGCAAAAAGGATTCCACTAAGCCGCCCTGTAGCCTGAAGAGATATGAGAAAATTATTGAAGAGATTGGCACCTACATTAAGAAAATTGGCTACCACCCTGACACAGTAGCATTTGTGCCAATTTCTGGTCGGAATGGTGACAACATGCTGGAGCCAAGTGCTAACATAACATGCCTTGATTCAAGGGATGGAAGGTCACCCGTAAAGCTGGCAATGCCAGTGGGACCACACTGCGTGAAGCTCTGGATTGGATCCTGCCACCAACTGGCCCAACTGACAGGCCCTGGAGTCTGCCCCTCCAGGATGTCTACAAAATTGGTGGTATTGGTACTGTCCCTGGGGGCCGAGTGGAGACTGGTGTTCTCAAATCCAGCATCATGGCCACCTGTGGTCCAGGCAGTGTGACAACTGGAGCAAAGTCTGTTGCGATGCACCATGAAGCTTAGAATGAAGCTCTTCCTGAAGACGTGAGGGCTTCAGTGTCAAGAACGTGTCTGTCAAAGATGGCACTGTGGCTGGTGGCACAGAGATGACCCACCGTGGAAGCAGCTGGCTTTACAGCTCAGGTGATGATCCTGAACCATCCCGGCCAGATCAGTGCTGGCCATGCACCGGTGCTGGATGGGCACACAGCTCACATTGCTTGCACATTTTCTGAGCTGAAGGAGAAGATCGATTGTCATTCTGGGGAAAAGCTAGGAGACGGCCCTAAGTTTTTGAAATTTGGTGACGCTGCCATCGTCAGTATGGCTCCTGGCAAGCCCGTGCTGTTCGTGACATGAGACAGACAGTTGCTGTGGGTGTCATCAAAGCAGTGGACAAGAAGGCAGCTGGAGCTGGCAAAGCCACCCAGTCTGCCCAGAGAGCTCAGAAGCTAAATGCATGTCATCCCCAGACCTGCCATCTCCTTCTTAATCAGTCTCGGAACTGCTTGTCTCCATTGGCCATTTAGGTTTAATAGTAAAAGACCGGTGAATGATTCATGCCTCATAAAACCTTCAGAAGGACAGGAGAATGTGTTATGGGCCATTTGGATTTCTTTTTTTTGTATGTGTGGCAATTTTTAAATTATTTGTTTTTAAAATCAGTATTTTTTAATGGGAAAAACTAGCTTGACCAAAAATCTGTCACAGAATTTTGAGACCCATTAACACTAAGTTTAATGAGAACAAAAAATAATAAGTGTTTTGGTCGAGGACCAAAAAGTCACTTAACTCCTTCCCATACACCTCAACTTTTGATAGTATTGATACTCATTTTACAGAGTTGTTATGGGAATGAAGCAACATTCATATGTGAGAAGGCCCTGGGAACTATAAAACGCTACGACAGTGTGAATCACTTCTGCTGCTCATATGCTTGACACAAACACAGAACCATAACCATTGCTCTATAGTGATCTGGCAGATAAATGTTAAAGCCACGAAGCAAATTTATAGGGCCAACATTTTTAAAACAAGTTTTAAATGCCTTCTTATTTACATTCTGATTTGCTTCTAGAAATGTTCTCATCTTCAGTTGGCGCACCAAGAGCAGGCAAGGCCCTTCTTCAGGAGCTTGCTGTGGTGGGGCGGGGCTCTCCTGATGGCCCTGGGAGAGACAGGGAACTTCGCGGCCTACGGATTTGCCCCCATCACTCTCATCGCTCCCTTAGGCTGTATGTCTGTTACAGGTGAGCCAATTTCCTATGTTTTGACAAATGGAAATTTTAAGAGATCAGAAAGTTGATGAAAAACATACAACTTAAAAAAAACACACACAGAAAGGAAGAAGGTTTATTCCTGTCTTCTTAGCATGTTAACTTCACACAATATACTACTCATTTCAGTTATTCACTGTCATGCTGCCACATGAACCATGAATAAACTTGCATTTGGTAGCTTGACCACTGTGCATAAAAGCCCAATTCCCAGCCTGCGTCTTAATAAATTCACAGTAACAGCAAATGTTATGCCGTGCTTGTTATTATTAACGAATCATCTCAAAGCATCTTGTAATACAATTTATATTTTATCCATATGTTAAACTGGCATTGCATGTACTTAGATGCTTTGGTGCCTAATCTCGACTCCATAGGTTAGCATCCCTTTTACATTAAAAATTAAATATTTGTTTCTTTTAAAATTTATGTGATTTACTAAGTACATTTAGAAAAGGGAATGTGAGATGTTGCTAAAAGACTAAAAAAGGAGCAAAAATCACTGCTGAAAAGGAGAACAAATTCTCTAAACCTCGTTAAATCAATAAGATCTTTTTATTTTTACTCTCTATTTGCTGCTATGGAAACAGCATGTTTCTAAATTTCTGTGAATGTGGAAACCATTGAAATAGAAACAAGTGGACAGTTATTATCTGGTAACAACTAGATCAAGCATATCATGTGCTTACATATCCCAGTTTTAGTATTTCTCCTAGGAAGTATACAATAGTCTTAAAGAATGCATCGTTTGAACTGAAATAATGTGTATTCATAGAGAATTTCATTTTGTTTATCAAGTAATTTCCCCTTCTTAATCATTCAAAATATTTAAATACTTTTATGATCTATGATGATAGAACATTTAGCAAAGACCACTTTTTTAATTTCTAGAAATTGTTCCGTTAAAATCACCATGCTGTTACTACTCTGAATAGGCTCACAATTGATGTAATTCTTTATCATTTTTAACATCCTGATAAAGGGAGCAATTTGGGTATGTCTTATCTTCTATTTAGTATACATACCATGTACAAAGACATCCTAGATTTTATTTTCAAAATCTGAGAAATAACATAAAAGATCTAGTTATATTGTCAACGTGGGACTTCAGGCCCCCAATTCCCCAATTGTTCTGAAAATGTTATATTATTCTTCATAATGACTGTATATTTAGAGCCGATCTTTAGTTTTGTTTCTTTTTCTGCTTTCTCCTCAATTTCCATGAAATAGCTAAAGGAAAAAAGTGTCCAGGCATAATAGTTACCAGGGGCCGGGCTGAGGGCACCAGATTGTACTGAAATTCTCCGTTGTCGCCAGATACCCAGTCCTGGGAAATCATTTTCTGGGAACAAAATAAAAGAGAACTATTCTAACCAGCTGAAAGCAAGAGGGATATGACTGGATTTATTGTATAGACCCGGGACTTCCCAGGAATGAAATATAGCCAGGCCTCCTGGGGCCTGAAGTGGAAATTCAGAAGTTGCCGGAAATGTAGGGCCCTCATTGCAGATCCTCAGTGAAGCTGCCGTGAAACTGCTCATTGTGGCATGACTTGCTCTCATTAACCACAGGAAGCATAAGGGGTCCCACAGTTCCCTCACTGCCCTGTCCTGCCCAAGCCCCCTGTGGGGCCTGCCTGCCCACCTCAAACTCTGAGTCCACTCCCTTGACCGATGGCTTTGCTTAATGCTTCTCACCGTTTGGTGTGTGTGATCTTAGCCCCAATTAATGGTTCACTTTTAGAGCATTTTTAGCAACTTCCCTCTCTGCCCATTGAAAACGATTCAAAGAAGTAAATGATGGCCGCAAACACAAATCATTTCCTACTTTACAATCTTTGCAAATAATAATATATTCTCAGAAGTAATATCCCCACAGCACTCCTGAGCTGAATTTAGGTTACAGTGAAGTGTCGTGGGTGGGGTAGGGACTACTGTGATGGAGAATTTTCCCCAGAACAACTCCCAACCACCCTGAGATTCTTTATAAAGATTATGGAAACTCGAGAGAATCAGAAGTGAAGGGGAAAGTATTTTTCATGCAGATGTATCTTATGGCTGTGTTTATAGATAAGACACAAGAGTGTCCACACTTCTTTGCTAGAACTTTCCCCCCTTATTATTCCTTGGGAGCCTCAACAGAGAAATCAAATCTCCCTTTGAATTAAGAAAAAAAGGATAATGTCTGTTGCAATGTTTCATATTCTGTTCTGGCCTCTTTTTCTTCCGCTGCTTTGTAAATTTTTAAAAAGAAATTGGAATCTAGGACACTGTGGACAGTTTAGCTCTGAAGTCCAAGCGAAAGGTACCTTCTGCCCTCTTCCTCCGGCCGGTCTGCTCCTTCCAGCCCTCTGTGCTCCTTGACCCCATGTGCAGTCTCACCACACACGAGTGTGCATGTGTCGGACCTGCTGCTCTGTCTTAGTCATCAGAGCTCCTGCTCCCTCTGTGCACTGCAATCGTGCAGGGTTTTTTTGTTTTTTTGTTTGTTTTTGTTTTAATTGGGACTAGTATGGAAGAAGCACTATGGTCAGCGTTATGGATATTTCCATCCGCACTCTCTCCACGTTCCCGCCTCAAACCATCTTCATTTCTGTCCTTTCTGGCCCTCTGTCTGTCTGTGTCCTGCTGGACCTCCTGACGTGTTCACCCTGAGACAGCGTTTCACAAGGAGACCTTTGCCGGTGCTTTCGAGGGTGTTCTAAGGGACAGAGAATCCCCCAGTCAAGCACGTTTCTGAAACACTAGGCTTCCTGTTACGCAGGTGTCGTCCGTGTGGGGTTCCGGGGCCTGGGGTGGGTCCAGGCGCAGGGTCGGTCTTTCAGAGGCAGAGGCAATGGGCCAGGTTTCCCAAACCTGACAGTCACACGATGCTTTTCTCCGAAGCGTCTCCACAAACAACAGTTCTGCTGAGGACCCTCGGGGACTCTGAAGGCAATGGTCCCAGCAGTCCCCCATCGGGACTCAGCCGGGATAGATGATGGCCAGAGCGGGCGGTGGGCTTGGATGACGGGAAGCAGTCCTGGTGAGCAGGCAGATCGGAGTGGCCGGGCCTGGGTCCTGCTTTTTGAGAGAGAGTCGGAGCCTTCGTATCCTCGTGCACCTTGTGCTTTCCCCCTACTTGTCCCACTAAAGGCCTTTGTCAGTGAGGAATAGGTCCCAACGCGTGTTCTGCGGAAAGGCTGGTGATACCAGCAGTGCGGTTAATTTTAGACTTGTGTTTGATTTCCCATAATTAAGAAAGCTTAATGGGTAGTTTTTTTACTTTCATCTAGCGCTTCGGCTGGATGCTTCCCCAATAAGCCAGGGCAGTAGAAGGGTCAGGAACACAAGCTCTCGGGCCACACTGAGGCTCCAATCTCAGTCCTGCCCCTGGAAAGCTCTGTGACCTCGGGCAAAGTGTTTAAACTGGTTTATGCCTCAATTTCTAATCTGTAAAATGGGGGTAAAAAGAGCACTCAACCCCAGTCAGAGAGAGGCAAGTATCATGTGATCTCGCTCATAGGTGGAATCTGATGAACAAAATAAACTGATGAAGAAAGTAGATCCAGAGACATGGAAGCAGGGAACAGACTGTGGAACCTCAGAGGGAAGGCGGGGGTGGGTGGGGAGAAAGAGATCAATCAAAGAACTTACACGCATCTATGCATAACTTATGGTGGGGGTGCTCGTGTGGAGGAGGTTAATGGGGGGAGAAGAAAATATCCCCACTCCTGTCCGGCTGGTGTGGCGCAGTGGTTGAGTGTCGACCTCTGAACCAGGAGGTCACAGTTCAATGCCCGGTCAGGGTACATGCCTGGGTTTGGGCTGGATCCTGGATCCTGGATCCAGGAAGCTGCCCATCAATGATTCTCATCATTGATATTTCTACCTCTCTCTCCCTCTCCCTTCCTCTCTGAAATCAATAAAAATATATATATTTTTTAAAAAATAGCTTCTGAAGAACTATTTACTATACCAAAAACTTAGTAAAAAGAAGTAAGTTGGATATCTGTAGAACTTGTACTAAAATTTTAAACTTCTGCTTTACTGCCTGTCCCAGGTACACCCTCCTCCTCAGCAGCCTTTCCTGGCTCCTAGACTGAATTCAGCAGGCGTGGTCTCTGCTCTCTTCCTGTCCTCTGTGGTCCTCTCAGCCACATAGTGCCTTTTTGTGAGTTAGCAAAAGGCAGCCTTTCTCGTGGGACTTTGTCTGCAAATTGGAATACGTTGATTTTATTGAAGCAGGACAGTCTGGTGCCACCTGTCAGAAAGTTGTCCTGGGAAACACACAAACCAACAGAATCTGAGACGTGGGTGGTGCCTCCTCAGCTGCAGTGACTGCTCTGCACAACCTGCTCGGCTGCCCCGGCCGGTCCCGACCTCGCCCTTCCGCTTTGGCAGGTCCCATCGTGCTCTCAGTGGCTTGTTTAATGTCCGTCCTGGCCGTTCAACCGAGAGACCCAGGAGACTGTGACTGTGCGTGTCTGGTTGCCTGCCGTCGGCTCTTTCTAGGAGAGGGGCCCAGGAAAATCACACAGTACAGCCTCGGGGAATTGGTTTGAAACTGAATTGTGATAAAACGAGGATAGGATGTTCCGATCTAGGGTGTTGGAACAGAGAAGAACATTGTTTCAAAGATTTCCATTCCTGACAAAGCACAATGGTTAAACATTTCCTTGCAAGGGACTTGTGAGTACTCGCTCTTGTAAATGCACAAAGGTTTATAAGACTGTCCTGTGGGGGTTGAGTTGGATTATTTGTGCATCTACAAAGGGTGTCCTTCGTGTAACATTTTCCTTTTTCTGTTCATCCCCATGCCTGTGATCTATGCATTGAGAGATGATTTAAAATCATTAAGCCCTAGCTGGTTTGGGTCAGTGGATAGCGCATCAGCCTGCGGACTGAAGGGTCCCGGGGTCGATTCTGGTCAGGGGCACATGCCCAGGTTGTGGGCTCGATCCCCAGTAGGGGGGCATGTAGGAGGCAGCCAAT